TTTGTAGCAAGATTGCGGAGATTGCGGGTAAGTGTGATATGGAATTCCAACGCGCAGAGGAGCTATCAGGGAGTATGTCGGAGGAAATCTAGAAGCATGAAGAGGAGTTGACGAATTGGGCCAAGAAATTGGCAGATTGCGAATCGGCCAAGTCTTTGGAGATCGAGTGTAGATTAAAGGTTGAATCGGAATGTCGACAGTTGCGGAAGCAGTTAGGTAAGGCGAACATGAGATCGCAAGAGTGGCAAAGGAGAATGGAGAAGTCCGAGGAGTACTACCGTCATTTGCGGGAAGAGACAACCGATGAGTTGAGATTGCGTGTAGAGAAGTGCCTGCGTGGATTCGCGATGTGGAGATTGCAAACGGTGAAGTGGTTGAAGTTAGATTCACTCAAGCGACGGTTGATAAGCACTAAGGCCAACAGATCCGCAGGACAAAAGGAGATTGTAGAGTTAATTAAGACATTTTCGAGGGATTCGATCGGCGCGCCAGAATGTAGAGTTAGAAATCTTAAACGTTTTGCGTAGACTAGGAACAGAGATTAGTTCAAACGACGCCGTAATCGCTACATCGGATGGCACAGCCCCTAAGACCGATTCGCCTCAAGCGGTTGAGATTCCAGAGTTGCCATTGTGAATAAAGAGACTCAAGGCTCTTTCCTTGGGGGACTTTTCTGTCATTTGACTTGTCTTGACTGTAAAACTGTGTCCACGGTGCCTGTGCGCTAGTGTGTGATCTGGGCATCGAGCACAATGCGCTCCTGTTTGTCGAAGCTACCGCATCGGGAGTGGTGAATTTCCATCTTGAATGTTTTGAGTAGCTGTGTGCTCCTTGGGATTTAAGCAAGTTCGAGGCTGTGTATTCGGGTCAGTGAGTCGGGATGTTGATATTCCAGGGGAAGTTTTTCCCCTGGAATATGAGTTTGGGATTGCAGACGATTTCCATAGGTGTTGATTGGAAAAGTTTCAGGCTGTGAGTGTGGTTACGCACTACTCTGCGGGTCTTCGGCCGTAATTGGGTAGTGTCTTCTAGGAGTGGCATTGGCATAAGAAGTAAAACTCCTTAATAGAATGCCAATCTGTGACAAATTGTGACTTTTGTGGTTGTTTCTGTCCTCGTGGGATCGGATCTGTACCATTATGCTCCATTTTGGTATTTGTCTGTGATTACACCTTCGCTCATACAGGTCGGCCGCAATGTCGTAGTGAGGATCCCGGAGCACAGCAGGTACTTGACTGCTTCTCTACTCCTTCCGCATTGGATTGGATATTGACGACCCTCCCGTAGTAAGTGGATACTTACTTCCTCTTTGATATCCGGGTCGTACGTCCTCTAAAGAATTTGCATTGCAGATCCATCTGATTGAGAATCTTCTTGAGCCGAAGATCGGAGATCTTTGGCCAAAAGTTTATCCCTCTACGCCGAAGACCCAGATACCTTTGAGCGAAGCTCTTCTTTCTTAGATGGAGACCCCTTCGGTATTGCTTCTTTGACACTAGTGCCTCTCTTCTCCCGTGATCCCCTTTCCGGAGATGTCTCCTTCCTCCAAGTCGCACTTCGCGTCTCCACTCGTCCTACCAAAGTCTCTTTGTCCGGCCACGAATTATCTTCCTCTTTAGACCTCAAACTCAACTTAACCTTGTTGACTTGTACGTCATCTTTCCCAAGTGGAGTAACGAAGCGCACCTGCAATCAAGGTGCCATTGGCTAATCGCACTCGGCCGCAGTATGGCACGGTTTTTGACAATTACTGCACATGGGCATGTACTTCATCTGCCTTTGGGGGTGGGGCAACTAGGGGAGTAATGCCCAAGTGCTCCACAGTTATAACAGGAATTCGCGAAAGCTCTCACCATCGCTCCAGGCGGCACCATTCTTCGTTGCGGCACTGTAGTCGCAACTTCCTTCGGCGCATATTGGAGTATGTGCGTTGGCGGGATGGGTGTCATAGGGGGTACTCCTTGTACAGCATTTGCAGTGTCTTCTGCGTTCTTGTAATGATAGACAAATACCAAAATGGAGCATAATGGTACAGATCCGATCCCACGAAGACAAAAACAACCACAAAAGTCACGATTTGTCACAGAATAGCATTCTATTAAAGAGTTTCACTTCTTAGGCCAATGCCACTCCCAGAAGACACTACCCAGCTAGAGCCGAAGACCCGCAGAGTAGTGCGTAACCACACTCACAGCCTGAAACTTTTCCAAACAACACCTGTAGGAATCGCTTGCAATTCCACATTTATATTTTAGGGGGAAAACTTCCCAGAATTGCATACATCTCAACACACTGACCCAAATATTCACACTTGAACTTGCTTAAATTCCAAGGAGCCTCCACTACTCAGGACATTCAAGCCGAATATCCACAACTCCTGATGCGGTAACTTTGACAAACAGGAGCGCACCGTGCACAATGTCTTGATCACACACCAGCACACAAACACAGTGGATACAGGTTTACAGTCAAGACAAGCCAATTGACAGAAAAGCCCCCCAAGGAAAGAGCCTTGGGCCTCTTTATTCACAATGGCAACTCTGGAATATCAACCGCATGAGGCGAATCGGTCTAAGGGGCTGTGCCGTCCGATGTAACGGTTACGGTGTTGTTTGACTACTCTCTACTCCTAGTCTACACAACGCGTTTACAATCTCTACTTCTACATTTTGGCGCGCCTCTTCAATCCCTCTGAAAATGTATTAACTAACTCTACAATTTGTTTGTGTCCCGCGGATCCGTTGGTCTTGGCTCTCATCAACCGCTGCTCAAGTGAATCCAACTTCAGCCACTTCACCGTTTGCAATTCCCACATCGCAAATCCATTCAGACACTTCTCCAAACGCAACTTCAACTCGTCAGTTGACTCCTTCCGTAGTTGACGGTAGGCCTCATCTGCCTTCTCCATTCTCCTCTGCGACTCTTGCGATCTCATCTCTGCCTTGCCTAACTTATCCCGTAACCGTCGACAGTCAAATTCAACCTTTAATCTACATTCGACCTCCGAAGACTTGGCCGATTCACAATCTGCCAATTTCTTGGCCCAATCCACTAACTCTTCTTCATGCTTCTGGTTTCCCGCCGACAAACTTGCTGATAGCTCCTCCGCACGTTGGAATTCCATATCACACTTCTCCTCAATCTCGAAAATTTTGCTACGAAGATTTTCTACCGCCGTCTTCGCCTCTACGATTTTTCCCCGAATTTCTTTGGCGATACGAACTTCTTCGGCTCTTCGGGCCTCCAACTTAGCAAGTTCCTCGATGTAATTCTTCTCTCGCTTCTCCGCTGTGGTGATCAACCGCTCCGATCGTTTGATTGCTTCATCGTAAGCTTTTCTGGATTTCTCCAACCTCGCAACCAAACCCATTGTTACTTTCTGGGCATTCTCATTAGACTTACGAAGTCCACCACAAGTTTCTTCTAACTCTGTACATCGCCCGGATTCCTTCGCTAGATTCAGCTGCAGCACTTCACACTAAGTTTCCTTCTACCGAAGCTGGGCTTCTCGCTCCTGCAATGTCACCTTCACTGCCGCGCACTTGGTTGACAAGGTTGCAGCTCGCTCCTGTGCCAATGCAATCGCGGAATCCCACTCCCTCTTTACTGCAACTGCTCTCTTGAGCTTCGTCCTGTTCCTAATCATCTGTAGGTAGAATCCTGGCTCCTTCGATACAGCATATCTCTCTCTCTTCCCATCCAAGTACTTCAACAATAGAACTACACTATCTTGCAAGAAATCAGGAAATGTAACTTCCAACACCTTCGCATCTTCGCCTGAAGCTTTCTTCTTTTCTTCGGGTCTCACCTCTTCCACCGGAGATGTCGGCAGTGTAATGCCATCGGCCTCTACCACCGTCCCTCCAATCCGTGCAACAACCTGCTCTAGAATCTCCTCGCTCAAGGTGGACTCCGTCACCAGGTCCTCGTTCACCTTCAGTTGTGGTGTTTCTTCACCCCGCGCAGACCGTGTCTACTCCGAAGACAGAGAAAGCATTAAGGCACTTTCTAAAGCAACCAAGCAAGGAGTCTACATGCGCTAACTGCTGGACGAGCTCCAAATTATACGAGTTGTTGCAGTTCAGATTACATGTCAAGACTCCAACATTAGTGAAGAACTCAAGCACGCACCAACTCCAACCCCGTTCGATTTGCATGTCTCATGCAACAATCAAGTTGCTACAAAGCTAAAACTAAACACATAGAGACAAAGCATCACTTTGTAAAAGAACGAGTTTTAGAGTAGAAAATTGCACTTAATACATACACATAGAAGACAATCCAGCTGATCTTCTAACTAAACCCCTGCAACGACACAAGTTTGACAAACATTGACATTTTATGGCAAATTTACAAGATATTCGCTAGACTTTACTTGTTACCCTGGAAAGGGTGTGTTGTGAGGAGAACATTTCATTTTTTATGGCAAATTTACAAGATATTCGCTATACTTTACTTGTTACCCTGGAAAGGGTGTGTTGTGAGGAGAACATTTCATTCTTATTCGTGGATTCTAGATTTAGGTAAAATGTTGTGTCCGAGGGAGCAACTACTTAAGTGTTGCTTTATCCTTTTTCTCTCTTTGCTCTCTCTTTCGTTGTTTTTTTTCTCTCACAACAATACATGAATTGCTTTTAAGATCTTATCCGTGCCCCTAGACTCTTTGCATCAAAATTAACTTCAAAATCTGGCTTTCTTTCCTTCTCTAAGTTGATTCAGAAACCAGATCCTCGACTTTCAGTCTCCAGACTTGGTTGCTACTCCCGCAAATTGCATAAACATCCTGCAAAATTTGTACCATCCACGTCTCAGCTCTCAATGTAGACGCCGCTTCTCACCAACACCGCCAGCCTACGTCCGCATTTTAGGATCTCATCTTTCTTCATAATCACGATCTTCAACATTCTTCAGCATCTAGCATCAAAGTCTTCATTACTCGCATCTAAAGGATAAACTGACGGTCCAGACCTGCCGGCCGATCTTAATCAAATGGAGCGATTGAAGAGCACAATGAACTGAGTTTATTCTGAATTATGGAATAGAGTCCACCCTGTATTCAGCGTATTCTCTTTGTACATTCAAAGATCAGACTAAACCTATCCACTCGTGAAGGAGCATATCAAATGCTCCCTTCAATCTAATCCATGGCCTTGTGACAATTTCCAGTTCAAACGCGAGTCAAAATTAGACTTGGAGTTTGTCAGACAAACTTTAAATTCAACGCAAGATACCGTGGTATGCACCTTAAAAGAAGTGCAAACTTGTTATGAGAAAACAAACAGGAGCTTCAGCTGATCTTGCTGATTCGGACCTCTTTTAATTTGTTGCCCCTTTGTCTTGGCCCACGTTTCCCGAAGCACGAAAATTTTAAGTGGGAATTACTTTATCTGTCAGCTACAACTTACTCCAGATTTTCCATTCTTGTACTGTCAGCGGCCGAGTTATTTTTCCATCCTGACGCATTGTACCTGTGCACGGCGGTGATCTTGCACAAAAGCATAAGTTTCTGCAGCATTTCGTCCTCGACTTCAGCTGGAGAATTCACGAGCTGCAAAAAGTCATCTTTCTGCGTCATGGTTTGGTTGAATGTATGTAGCAGGACCTGTGATAGCTTTTCTTTGTTGACCGACCTTTGGAAAGAGTCCACCTCTTCTGGGTGGTTGGTGAGTAGTCTATACACAATGACTCTCCTCTTCTGTCCAATTCTGAAGGCTCTGCTCACGGCCTGTCTTAAAACAGATGGATTGTCGGTGTTATCTATTATTACGACTCGAGAAGCACCCACCAGACTGATGCCCTCTTTGCAGGCTTTGGTAGAAGCCAGCAGGAGGTGAATGTCTTGTCCCAAGTTTTGATCTGTTCCCGGACATTGGTTGAACAACTTGATTACCTCTTGCCTGTCAACTTCCGCCATTGTCCCGTCAAGGCGGAAAAACTGTTGATTAAGATTCCAGCCCCATATCTTCAGGAGCATTGTCTGAATGTAATTCAACGGACCAAGTGTTGTGCAGAAGACGATCACTTTCTCCTTCGATTCTTTGCATAGACGCAAGAGGTGGATTAAGAACTCGATCTTCACCCCTTGAAACGCTTCCGTAAATTGATTCGATGGAGATGGTTGAGCCGGGCCATGATTCTGGCCAGAATATGGATTTAGCGTATTGAGCCCCGCCACCAATGATGGATGAATGCATGCTGAGAATATTTTCTTCTGTATCGCCCATCTGCCTTTAACTGGAGGCAGAGACGAAATTACTCTTCTCTGAACATCTGTGAGCTTCAACCTCACCGAGTACTCGATCAATCCAGGGAGATTTTCTAATATTGTACCTGGATACCAGTGAACGAACGAGGCTGTCAGCAGCCTTAGTTTCTGCACCGCCTGATTGATGGCCTCATCTGCAACGGTTTCATTCTTCACCTGATTTTCCAGAATTTCGCCAATTTCTTCCTGGAACATATTTTCTTCCAGTTGCATTACAGATTGTCTAGATTGTCCGCTCCTCTTGCCGATCGTATTAGAGAAGTTTGGATGAGCTCGCATAAAGTCATCTCTGCACAGCTTCAGTAGAGTGTAGAGCTCCTTGAAATTATTGTGAAACAACGTCCCTGACACTATCACTCTCCTTCTCGTTCTCAATTGTTGGAGGCTCTTGAGTATCTTCGTCTTCTTTGTTCTAGCCAGATGCCCTTCATCAAAAACGACCAAGTCTGGAGCATCGAGGACTACTTTGCACATTTGGAAGTCTAAAGCATCTCGTTCAGCCTTTGATAACAAACCTCGATCCACCATAATGGCGAACAAAGTATAACTCATCAGCAACACTCCCCCCTTTGCTCCCTTCCAATCTTCTAGTACTCCAGCTCTGTTTACCTTCAAGCTTTTCTTCACCTGTGTTGGTATTTGTGAGTAAAGTTCCAGCGTTTCCTGCAACTCGTACTCCGCTCCGACGGAACCCTCTTTATGAGTGCACTCATTGAGGCAAAATATAGGCAAGGTCTCAACTTTCCACCGAGCAAACTCGTCCTGCCAGGATTTTAGCATGATTTTTGGTGCAAGGATGAGAGCTCTTCTCTCGAGGAACTTGGACAGAAAGCTTTTTATAAAACTTATCAAAAGGCAAGTCTTACCTGTACCAGGGGCATGTGCTATAATGCATCCAACAGATTCCCCTTTCTCATCAGCGACAAGATTTCTGGCAAGGAAGTCGAAGCCGTCTTTTTGATGAAGGTGCAGTACATTCTCAAACAGAGGATCAAGCTCCAAACTAGAATTGCACAAGTCTTCATCACTGCGTTGTGGCACTCGAAGGTTGAATTGCAACGCAGACTCCACCCGTGTGAACTTCGAAGCATTGTGCTTACGTGGTTCAGGTGTATGACTTAAGGGAATAAACATTTTCTGTATGTCCCTTCCCGTTCTCCCACAGTCCTCGCAGTATTGTCCGACCTCGTCTTTCCAGAGCTTGTTCTGGTGAGTACAGGAAATGTCTTTCAGCTTCTTCTGCTGGGCTATGCATCCACAATCCTCACAATACCATCCCAAATCCTCGTCCCAGTCACAAACCAGATGGTCGCAAGCCAGGGACGGCTCTGACGCTGGAGGAGGTGCTGCAGCCGTGGCGAGTGCCATGCACTCCCACACGGATCCCAGAGAACTTTCCGCCTTGTCATCTAAGATCCCCTTTTCAGGCTCCCATCTATAATCCGCGTAAGGAACGTTCTCTTCATCCTGACATGTGCTGTCTAAATCTTGGCATTTGGCAGGTTCTATTGAGTAGTCTTCCTCCTCACTCATATCCACTTCTTCCATTCGCTGTGCTTTTCTCTTCTTCCCTTTGTTCTGAATCTCGTGGAGCTTTTTTTGTACACATTTTTCCCTCAATGATTTTTTCAAGCTGTTCGGCGTTTTCCTTAACGAAACTACACCCTTGCTATGATCGCCAACAATTGGTGAAGGGACAGAGTCCACAGCTTCTTCCTTTATATTTGGACGAAGTAGCTTCTTAGCGCTTAGACAGGAAGTTCCTTCCCTGTCAGTCTCGCCGAGGCCGGCGGTGTGAATTGATTTCTTGTGAACAGAACTAATATCTAGAGGAGAGTCTGGCTTCTCTATACCATAGCTTTGTACCCCAGGCATGGCGCTTGTGGCAGCGGGTTGATGGGGAGAATCAGTGACGGGCGAGGTGAGGACACTGCCACTCAAAATTCGAGCTATTTCGTCCCAGTATTCCTCGATCTTCTTTGCATTGGCAGACTTCGCAGTAGTTTCTTCTTCGGTTTGGTAACGATCCTCTTCAGGTACCTCTCGTTGACCGGAACCATCTGCCTCAGCATTAACTGCATTGGGATTTCGAACGTCAGCGGAATGCAAATCTTGTGGGAGGACTGTGGGATTTGAGCAACTTTGCTGTCCAAGGCCTTTCACGTTGTCAGGCCAGTGGACATTTATCATCCCCTTTTCACAATTCTCCATGCCGTCCGTGGAAGTCTCCTCCTTGTTCTCTTGCAAATTCCTCGTTGCAAATTCCCCCTTGGAATCCAGCAGTGCCTGGACAGATTTCTCTACCTCGGCACCACCTGTAATCTGCTCAGTACTTTCCTCTAATACTGGCGATGGAGAAGTGCCATATATACCCAGTCTCGTCGCACTCAATTTCTCGATGAAAGTGTTGCACAACTTCTCTATACTTTCAAGCTCGGCCATGGCCCCTTTCAGCCAGTCAAAACTTTTAGCTTCCAATGTACCAGTCTTCATAGTCACTGCAGATGGTGTCCCATTCTCGTCTCGATTTGCATTCATCTCCTGTTTCTCATCGTTCCCTGAGACATCCGACGACGAACGGTCGGTTGTGTCTGCTGGTTCTTTCAAGCCCATCTCAACCGTCGGAGATGGTGGAAGCAAATCAGATACACGCCAGCCAGCCTCCACAAAAAATATATAACCCCAGAAAAGCTCCAAGACTGCTCGTAAAAAAGCTGCCTAAATCGTGCCATCGTGAATCTGCTGCGAAAGTCGTCTCGTCCCCGACATAATACGTACAGAATAACGACCTGTTCTGGACATGGGCTCCAAGTGGACAGAGAGGAGAATATCTACCGATCGTCCATGCGTTTTTCATACGATTTTTCATACGTCCATGCGTATTAGCGGAAGGCCGAACATGGCAGATGACATGATCCTCCTCCCCTTACATTTCGAACCGACCATTTTATCACATCGTTCCCACTGGAATTTGAAGCTGATGTTGAAACTGCAACTAGAAAGTGGACGAGAAGTCTTGCAGAAACGACGATTCGAAAACCGATCTGAGAAAATATCGAGCGGGACCTTCCCAGTCCAACATAACGTAAACGTAAACCGAACTCTTTGTTGTCTGTCGCCTTTTCGCACTCCTTGCACAGTTAGTTGATGATGAGTGCTGCTAGGTCCAAGTCCGTCAAACCTCCCCGCCCAGCTCAGACGTTCGTTACCTTGGGGCTGACTGACCCTGACTGACTAATAAGTCAGTCAGGGACCATTGCAAGCTGTTCTTTCTTCACTTCAGAGGACGATGACGACATAGGAGGACGGGGGGTCTAGCTCATGTGGCATCCATCCAACCTTTTGCAATTAAATTCTTACTTCGCCCATTGATTGAATGATTGATTGATTTTTGAGATTCCACGTCGGGACAGACATGTCGTCTGCCCTGTTGACAAACGATCTTCTTGGCCTGGGGACGGACTGAGGAAGAAAATGTGGAAGTCGTGGAAGAAGACCTTGGTCTCCTTCCGCTTTACGAAACTTTAGGTTATATCTACATACAATTCACAGATTCTGCAGCCCTGGAATACTGCGCAATATGATCTCAGTGTAATAAAATTACATTTTCTGAATGCAAAGAATAATAACTGTAGACAGAAAATTATATTGAGAAGGTTTCTCTGAGTTTTATTGCAACCGCTAATATTGTGAAGGAGATAATTTGATCAACTAGCGTCAACCTTTGGTTGACGCAACGATGGATCAAACGGATAATGTTATCATGAAATGAATGATTGCAACAGAAATTGCGTGAAAGTGTGTGATTCTCACACACTTTCAGGCAAAAAACTGAAATCAGTTAGGTATCATTGTTTGTTATTCCCAAAAAACATACCAACTTGTGGAGAAGACCTCTGAATTATCTCCTCCACAATTTAAGTTTTAAACTTCCCTTTCGCCTATGAACACTGTTGTCGATCTCTTTCAACAAAGCCCCTCAAGCATTCCTGCGCACAATGACGATGCAATGAGCATGGAAGTTTTTTTTCCCCCTTCTCAAGTCATAAATAGCGTATGAATTGTGTGGATCTCGCTAAATGTTGTTAAGTTCTTTTAAAACTCCTAGTCAAGATTGTGCTCCCAAGCAAAAGTCCAGATGAACTCTTTTGTTACTCACAAAATTCCAACGCACGCATTTGAAGAATCTAGATTGCTGAGTCAATGTTTTGTATTGGTCTTATTGAGTGATAATCTGACCTTTGAAACTCGACGTCGAAGTATGCAACTGAACATGCAGCGCACGACAACGATTCGAGTGCCGCTGTTAGAGGCACCTGCCGTCCACTAGCTTCAGTTCTTGGTCTGTAGCAGGAAAAGCTCGTTTTTTGCTTCAGGCCACGAGCTAGCAGGCAGTGTGACTCTTGAGCTCCTTAATGGAAATTTTGTTTGGTCACCTCAAGAGAATTCGTCATTCTTCTCAAGAAACTCCCTTTGTTGATATTATAGACATCATAGTATCTACAGAGACACAAAAGAATGGTTGATAATGGAAAGGATTGTCGTGTTGTACATGTACTTCGCACAGCATGCTGCGCTATTGCACGCGACCATCCCTCGATATAAATTCACCAAAAAGGGAGTGATGTGATTGGTCAAAGCTCCCGTCCACCGGGAGCTTGCATTCACCCAGACAAGATCGTGAAAGATACTCGGCCAATGAACTCGCTGTCCCTTCAAAATGCGTTCGAAGAACCCTACTTGCCAGGCCGTCACATAAGTCGTGCGCGCCGGCCGTAAAATGTGCATGATTCCCAACGCGATCGCCCTTCTCTTCGGATCTTTGTAATTGACAGTCTTCCATCCATTCGTTCCCTGTCTTCCAAACTCGAAGAGAGGCCCGTAAGAGAATTCCTCGCCGCGCGTAAGTCCTACGCTATTCTTCTCAAATAGCAGATCTCCTTTGTTGCCCGCACAGGTTCCCAGTAACGTCGTCCAATGTTTGATAGTCCACAGCATGGGATTACCGCGGAGCTCCTCGCCCTCGATCATGCTCTTGTCCATTACCTCCTTGCAGATGCTCGCTGAGACGCAATTTCAATTCCACAAAAGGATCTCAAGCCGCAGTTCACTCAACTCGCGTTTGAAGGATCTCAATTCCTCGTAAGGCACCTTCAAGGGAACCAATTTCTTCACCTTCTCACTTTTCTTGGGCGCTATGTCTTCAATTTGCGTTTCGCTAAGCGCGGGTTTTTGGAATAATTGTTAATCTGGAAAATCATCAGCTTATTCTATTTCCTCCGGTTGCGTCCATAACCGAGACAAGTAGTCTGCATTCTCGTGGTGGATTCCCTTCCGCGTCTGGACGGTAAAAGTGAAATCCTGTAGGAGCAACACCCATCTTGCAATTCGCCCCGACAAGTCGGCCTTCTTCACTAAGTGCTGTAGAGCGTAATGATCCACGTGAAACACGAATTCATAACCCAGCAAATAGTGTTGTAACTTCTTCACTACAAACACCATCCCCAACGCCTCTCTCTCTGTCGTGGTGTAGTTCTTCTCGGCTGCCGATAACTGCCTGCTAGCAAAGTAGATCGGATAATCTCTTCTTTGTTCATCCCTTTGACTTAACACTGCACCTATGGCAAAAGCCGAAGTGTCCACGAAGACGTGGTATGGTTTATTCCAATCAGGACTACGCAAGACAAGAGCTGAGGTAAGTTTCTCTTTAAGTTCTTCGAATGCCTTCTGCTGCTCCTCTCCCCATTCGTATGGCTGATCTTTCCTCAACAGCCTAGTCAGACTAGCTGCTGTAATTGAGTACATGTGGATGAACCTTCTATAGTACCCTACATGCCCAAGAAAGGCCCGAAGTTCGCGAAGATTCGTCGGCGGATCCAATGCTACAATAACTTTCACCTTGTTCGCATCCATAGCTATTCCTTCAAAGGACACTCGATCTCCCAACAAGATTCCGCTTGACATGAAGAAAAAGCACTTCTCGGGATGCAAGGATAGCTGTGCTTCTCGGCACTTGTCGAACGTCTGCTGGAGGTGATTTAAGTGCTGGTCACATGGCCCAAAGATACAGAAATCGTTAATGAAGATTTCCAGGAATTTCCGCAGGTGGTCCTGGAAGATTGTGGTCATCATTCTCTAGAACGTCGCCAGTGCATTACACAACCCGAATGGCATCTTGTGATATGCATAAGTTCCCCAATCGGTGGTAAACGTGATTTTATCTTTATCCTGTTCCCGGATCGACACCTGGTTATAGCCGGAAAATCCATCAAGAAAACTGTACATTTTGTATCCAGCCACATGATCCAGAATGGCGTCTGTGAAGGGTAGCGGATGATGATCCTTCTTTGTAGCTGCGTTCAGCTTCCTGAAGTCCTGACAAACACGGATCTTACCCGTCAACTTCTTCGGGACTATGACAATGGGTGAAACCCATTCGCCGCTTAGTACCGGATAGATAATCCCGAAACTCAAGTATTTATCAATTTCATTTTTGACCATCAGGGAGTATTTCGGATTAAATCGGTACTGTCGCTGGCGCACGGGTACAGCATTATCCATCAAGTCGATACGATGCTCGCCATAACGAGCCGGTATCCCCTTCATATCTTCAATCCGCCATGCAAATACATCTTCGTACGAACGAAGGAAACGTTGAACTAATCTCAACTCGGCACCTCTCAACACGTTGGAGACTTTAAGACATTTGTGGGGACTGAGTTCGATCTCTTGACAATCATTTGGGTCTATGACGCCTTCCGTGTGACTGATGTCACTACGTCCCAGCCCCACTTCTAATTGCTATTTGCTGCCTTCGGGTCCAGCTTCCTCTGGTTCCCCTACTTCTACATCTTCTTCATCTATTACGTAAAACTTCATATACTGTACATCGGTGTCACTCTTAGAGGTGGTAGTCTCTTCCTCCGACGTGTAGCCGGAGCTGGTTGATGCTGTCTCCCCTTCGTGTGGGATTTTGTCTCATGGGACGGTGACCTTGGGACCCTCCTTATTATTAGGATCCTTAAATTGCAATGATCGCTAGTGCCAATCTGAACAGACCTTAGCACCGTAAAACCATGGTCGCCCAATCAGTACTTCATATACTCTCTCCGTCAGAGGCTTAATAATGACATGGTTCAAGGGAAACACTACCCCGCCAATGGTGGTTCGAACGTCTTTCAACGTCCCAAGGTGTTTCCTTCTGGTCTGATCAGCCAATTGTATCATTCGCGTGGTGGGCTGAAAAGTTTTGTACCGCAGGGCAATGGCCATATCTTCTGTCATAATATTAATACCCGACCCTGAATCCAAGGGCACCTTCCGAATGGTACATCCTCCAATCTCAATATCGATCTCCGGTGGTCCCAAGTCCTTAGTCCTGACTTGGTACACCCGTGGGAGCTTGTGCGTTCGTGACCGCTTAACACGTTTCAAAGCAGAAGTCATCAGCTTCCGATAGAAGTTATTATCTTCTATCAGTTGCCGAAACGTAACATGAGCTTGGCGATCATAAAAGTCGGCCGCAATGTCATAATGAGGATCCTTAGGTGCTTCTGCGGTTTGGCTCACTCACTCTGATTGAGACGGTGCTTTGGCTTTCAGTGTTTCTTTCCCCTTCTCTGACTGGGGCGGCGTCTTCTCCAATTCTTCACGAAGCAGCTCCCCTACTTTGTCCTTAATGTCTGGGCGTACGCTTTCCGTAGCAGCCGCAATGCTGGCCCATCTGACTGTGAGTCATCTTGCGACGAAGACCAAAGTTC